ATCAGAGAAACATACTATCTCTCGAACAATCTCAGGTGGGAAATTGAAAGACGTTGTTGACTCTAATTGATGAATTTGTTAAGAAAATACAATGACACTTTTTTTGAGGTGTCATAAAGAAGTGCGAAGAGTCCTAGTTTGCAGAAAATTTAATTCTCTACAAAGTTAATAATAATTTAAAACGTTAAATTTGTTCTTTTTCGCGAAAGAAATTAAATTCGAAAACCGATCACTCATTACGAACGAAAATTTCGCAAAAAATAAGCTGTTTTGAGATTGTTTCAATACCAATATTCACTGTCAGCATTAAAAACGGGTTTTTCAAAATTATGGCTTGATAATGTTTGAAAAATATTTCTTTCGAAATGTAAAGCGCAAAATTATGCAGAGATTTATGTAAGTTTCATTTTTCAAACAAAATCTCAGGGAAATCACGCGTTATTTCGAATATGTTTTCAAGTTACATTATAGTTAACAAGAGCTTTCAAATACTGAATGAATCAGATCTCTAACTATAAATGCAGCTGAGTTATAATAAACACAAAAAATGTCTTAAAATAATGTCTACTACTTTATTTGAAGTCAAGTTTTCTTAAAACCATAAGAGTTCTTCAATTTTTTCGTGTCTACATGAACAAGTGACGAAAGTTGTAGTTACTTGTACAAAATATGTACTGTTCTCATCCATACAGTCATTTTCGTATACGATATAAAATGCATGCAGATAAGGACCTTGTATATCATGTAGAAATACCAAGTTGTTAAAGATGATGTATTGGAAACGTGAAAAAAAAATATATTTAGAATATTATGTATCAGTGTTTAGTATTGCTAAAAGAGAAAAACAAATGTATCAATGACATAACGAAAAAAGTAAGGCTTATAAATCACGTCATAAACAAAAAATCATGTTTCGATTTAATAGAACCTATTGAAGCATAACTACGTTTTTTTTTTCTCTATGACATCACTGTTCTATTTGATGTGCTGATTGATGAAATAAATACGCTTATATATTAGTGGTTATTTCTCAATGCAGTGTATGAAAATATTGTTTTACAATCGTTTGATATAATAAGATTTATACATATTCAGAATCATCATAAGATGAGTAATAATTTCTACTCAATATTATATTATACTGAGCATTTTTCAAAAAACAAATAGATGACACCAGATGATTTTTTCCATGATGAAATATTGACATGAAATGACTGAATCATATACAACTATCTATAGGTATATAATATGCAAACTATTGTTATTTAACCTATTATTTTCTGCTTTGTTCTTCTCTATTGTAAAATCTATAGTACATATTTCAACAAGTTATTTATTTTATAATTATTAATATAAAATTGTAGCTCAAAATATAAAGATACAATGAAACTATATTGAATTAATCGAATGAAAAAAGCGTTTTCAGATGATTCTTTATTCTGAAAAGATTTGAATAAGATAAAAGGAGTGAACTATTCGTTTATTTTGCTCTTCAAATTGTAGGATTTTTCAATTCAAAAAACTAAAAACATTATCCTTATCAAAGCTATATGATGCTCAAGCGTTGTTGATACTTTCATTGCCTTTGTATAGATAGAGATGTTTGTTAATTTACAGATCTCGTATGTTTTGTTAACGAACGATCGCTAATCGACGTATGATTTGAGCACTTTTTTGCATTACACGAACAAAAACATCGTACATAGTTGAGAATATTTACCACATGTCTACATATTAGAATTACCAGTACATTTGCAACACTAAAAGTATGAAATATATTTAAAAACTTACGAATATATAAAGTCCCAATTTACATGAAAAACGAAGAATTCTCTTTAGGTGAAGGCATTTTTATCGTTTATTTTATTTTCATGACGTAGTTAATTTTTTCAAAATCAAATAGTTCATAATAACGATAAGGAAGATTCTGGTAGTGTGCACTTCTTCATATTTGATATTATTTACTAAAATGATTTAAATCAAGAGTTGAAATTTTCAGTGCTTATGACTGCCTTTCTTCATGATGAATAAAATCATAAATAAGTCTTTCAACAATCTTAATGTCTTCTTCAATCATAGGAAAAGCAGAAAGTTTTTTAAGTTTACCATTATGATGAGAACTAGCAAAAAGTGTTTCGAAAAATATGATTGTGGATATTTTTTTGAAAAGCGAAGTTGTATCATAACATTTGCCACCATGCAGAGCAAGCAGAATCTCTAGAAATATACTGTATTTATTGATTAACTGACTATGGATTATAATGTAAGTTATATTTTATGCTTAATCGTTACGAACGGTAGAATCAACAATAAGTTGTGACATCATTCAAAAGATCATAGTCTCAATAAAGAACCAAAGATGTATTAGCTTCATCATGATTAGATTCATGAGATAAAGAGTCTTCTGTTGGTGGATCATCTAGAACTTAGATAAATAAAAAATTTCTAGATAGAATAATCTAAAACACTAGTAGACCATCAGCAAAACATACATAATAGAGGCAAATTGATCGAACGTTTGAAATAATAGTTTTCGTACTTTCACATATTGTGATATGACTGAGAAAGGTGGAAGGCACCACTTTATTCAAGTGTTAATTATACTTGCTAAATGACGTGTCTTCATAAGACAGCATATTAATTATTTTCATCGTAACAGTCGTGCACAATAATTGATTTAATTTTATGTCTAAGAAAACGAAATTAACTACTTGAAACTTGAAAAAAATAGTCAAACTTTCATAAGGAATGTATAATGAAGTTTCGGAAGGTGAGATTGACATATAAATGAGCAATTCTTTAAGAAGTCAACCAGAAAACATAACAAAATATGCAGAATTGTTTCCTTGATATCAAACTTTGTGGAGCTTTTTTCGCTGATTATTTTCATAAAAACATTTTCTGAATTTCATTGAGTAATGATAATGTTATAGTCCAAAATACTAAACACTGTTAAATAGGTTAAAATGTTTTTTTTTGTCTGATAAATAAACATAAAAAGTCGATTCGCATATATCAAAATGGTTATACTATATAGAAATACGATATAGTAAGTTTTATAGAAGAAAGTTTTCTTGACGAAACTCCTCAATCGGTTTCTCAGATATATTCGAATAGTATATTACTAAATTTCGATAGAACATTACATACAATATTCGTATGAAAAAACATTTAATACCTCTTCTTTTTACAATAAATATTGTATGTAATGTTCTATCGGAATTTAGTGATACTATTCGAATATATCTGAGAAACCGACCGAGGAGCTTAGTGAAGAAAACTTTTCACTATACATGTAAAAACCTACTATGTCACATTTCTATATAGTATAACCATTTTGATATATGCGAATCGACTTTTTATGTTTATTTATCAGACAAAAAAAAACATTTTAACCTATTTAACAGTGTTTAGTATTTTCGACTATAACATTATCATTTCTCAATGGAAGTCAGGAAATTTCTTTTTACAAAAATGATCACCAAAAAACTCTACAAAGTTTCACATTAAGAAAACAATTCTAAACACATTGTATGTTTTCTGGTTGACTTCCTATAAAACTGCTCCAATATGCTTCAGTACCACTATTTGCCAACTTTCGTATTTAATAAAAATTTTTCTTTGTAAAATTTCTCAATTAAGTAAAGTCTATCATTTTGGTAAATTATATCTTTTTTATTAACAGTAGTGATAGAATCAGAGAAAAAAACGAAATATATCAACATTAGATAGAGAACTTTAATAGGCCTACTACTTAACAAATTGTAGTATAGGCTGATATTAGCATAGGTGAAGTTAGGTCTGTATTCGACTAAATTCGTGCAGAATTCTTGTAGAAGCATGTTTCAAGTACAAGTTACTCAGCTCTATTCAATCGTATTATTGAATTGTCCATCGATCAAACTAAACCACTCTAAATCTCCGTTACTTCGTTCTTTCGAAAGGTCTTCTAGGTACTTACGTAAGGATTCATCTGGAAACATGTTTCGGGATTGCGAGTCGGGATCTGAACGTCAATAAAGAGAAGACACACATTCACAACCACACTCTAATAGTTGATTGTGTTTGTTTTGATATTCATTTGATTCTATGTTTTGAAGAAGCCCTTGATGAATTCAACAAGTTGGTGCCTATATGAGTCTTCGTGCAGCATTACAAATATGTCGTAATCTTAGTCAACAAACACATCAACGTTTAGAACAATTTCTTCTTCAACATTTATAACGATTGATAGATGTCATTGCTGAACTCATTGATTTATCAGATGAATGAAAAATTCCTGCTTATTTAATAACAGATGATTTTCACGTTCATTTTGTTCGAGTAAAACATATTGTTTTATTTCTAATTTTGATATTCCTCTTTATTCATAAGCGAGTTGGTAAAATATAGAAACAAATGGGTACTATTAACATTAATACAATACCTGGGAATAAGTAAAAAATAAAACATTCAGACAATTACAAGTATGCTAATTACACTTGTCTTCAAAATCTCTATTTACAAAGAAGTTCATTGTAATGATATTGAAGAGATTTTACTTCAAATATCTTTTCTTTTGATTTACAAAGATCATCAAGTTTAAATTCGAAGCATTCGAGTGACAACATGACTCTTACACTACTGTTGCTTAAATGTCAATTCCTTGATTTTGTTTTTAGACAGGACTTTGTTCAAGAACTCATTATGTTTACCTGTCAATCAACAAAATAAAGCTTCTACTTCTTCAAATATGAGACTGAACTGTTTTCAAAATAAATAAGAAGAAACAAAATAATTTGATTTAAATACATCAGTCTTAAGAAACTTGTTAATTCATGGAACATATATATATTATCATCAAATAATAGAGTTCTCAACCAAATATATACAGTTGAGGGTTGATTTTTAATGAAAGAAAAGATTTAAGCAGAGAAACATAAGTTATATTTTATTTTTTATAATATGAAGTGATCTAATAATAAAATGTTACATATTTTATATAAGTATTCAGAATTATTTTAACGACAAATAGCACTCTTAAATAGTAACTTTCCTTTTGTAGCAGCTGCTCGTTGATGAAGTGTTTCTTTATTTGAATTTATTTTGATTGGATGAGTATGAGCAATATTATTATTAGGCATAAGTTTACATGCTTCATTTTCATTTTCAATCATTTTATCGTTTGTATTCATCACTGGATTACAATCAGTAGTTGATGGACGTTTATTATTATCAAGTGCTTTATCTTTTTTAGTAACAACTAAATCTCTTTCACCTTCTATAATACCAATTTTATGATTAAGCCAACGAAATTTTGCTTTGATTTCTTCATGTATTAAATCAACGCACATAGCTAAAATTGCTAGTCCAAAAAGTTTGTATACAGCGCGAAAAATAAGCTTAGCACTAGTATTTGGACCATCTTTGCTTTAACCGGGTATCAAATATATTATTTGTTTCTTAATTTAGAAAAAATGAATTATAAAATAAGGTAACTATGACATTCGATGGTTTTTCATATCAAAATGTCTTCATCGTCACAGTAAGAATTTGTTATGAATACTAATAAATGAATAAGAGTATATGATTAGCAAGACATTCAACACCTGTTCTAGCAGAAGAAAGAAATGGACACAATCTCGATGCTTATACCAAAGCCAACAAGAATAATCGAGACCGGAAAACCATGCCGACTAGATACAGATTGAAAGAATAAGTACATTGAAATAGCTCAAGATAATTAAAAACTCATGAACACGAACTTTTAAGTGGGTACCGTTCGTTAGGAATGAAACCCAAAGGAACTGGAAGCCTGACATCCTTAATCGTGATCAGTGGGAAATGTTAATATCATTCCGATGGACAAAAGAATATGGTCTACAAAGAACTTTTGAATATAGAAAACGAAATATTTTACCAAGAAAACCGCTTATCTTTGCAGCACATAAACGAAATATTGGTATACCTTTTGAAAAGAATTTATTTATTTTTCATACCAATCGGAGCATAACATATGCAACATATTTGACCTTTCCCTATAACATATTTAATATTTAAAAAAACTTAAAGAGAAAAGTCGCTCTTACATGTCTTTGGTCTAAATTTAAAAAAAAAACAAATGGAAAAAGAAAATATCGTAATGTATTATTTAATTTTTTTTATTACGTTATCTTTTCATCATCAACTGTTGTAATAATTGTTATTGCAAAAAGAAATGAATTTGCATATGTTCATTTAGTAATAATTGTACAACTATTTCATAATGTCGATATTTTGAACCAGTAGATATAACAAAAACGCGATAATTATGTAACATCGAACCAATTATTACATCTGCAACTTTTGTATTATCTTTTTTAGTTGAAAATATCAATATTGCTGATGTTACATTGTATTGTATATAGGCAAGAAGTTTTGGTGTAACTTTAGTTACTTCAGTCATATGTTTACTGTATGCTTCTTGACAATTTAATTTTTCGCGATGTTTTTCAAGTAATGCAAATAAAAATTTTCCAGCAATGGTATAAACAATAACAATACAAACTAAACGAATAGGCGAAAATAATTTTTTTTTAAACATTGGCGTATTTTGAATATTTCTATTGCATCAAATTTACGTTGTGATTGATGATTTTGATAAGTATTATAATGAATGATCGTTATATCATTTTGTTGAATACTACCAATAATATTTTACTTCTCTTATTTTTTTTCAATACTATGCACATTCAAAATAACAGCAAGAAAAAGGTTATCTAATAAATTCATATTAAAAGTGCGCATATAGACATACATTGATCGCATTTGGTAAATGTTGTCTAAGTCTGTGTGAACTGCGATACTTCCTACATTAAGAAACAAAGGAGAATTTTGAAAGTGAACGCCAAGATCTATTCCTTAACCAAAGTTTTTAGAATATTTTACTGCAGGAAACGAAAGTTTCGGCATGCTAGTTTGCTTCTTTTTTTGTTCGATATTTTTACTTGTGACTTGTGTTTAAGTATCTCATATTGTTATTTCAATGTATATTTATATTTATTAAAGACAATGTTGCTCTATTTATTATGTATTTTTGTATTAAAATGTATGCAGTCAAAATTGTGATTCTTTTGTGTAAAAAAATTAGCTTTCTTGCAGGTTACTGATACGCTCATACCCAGTAGCTCCGCATCTCTTGGCAGCGTAAGTATTACTTGAGTACCGGTTTCAGCACCCCAACGCATGTCTTTTGCACATTCTACGTTGGTAACACTAGCTCGATTAACACTGACAACAAACGTACTTTCCACGAGCGTTGGATGTGCCGCAGTAATGGTAAAGCTTTCCGAGTTTTCGCTGTATAGTATCACACCTGCCTGTTCCATATAAATACTCAGTGATATATCACTGCAGTTGTAAAATACACCAGTACCAATAATAAACGCATCATCAAACAGAGCAACAGAAGCTCGCTGAATTGATGGCTCACAAGTACCATGTAGATAAAGCGATCTGTTATGACTTTCTGGTAGTTCGAATATGCGTGCACTATTTGCCAGAAATAGATAGCGTTTCCAGAGCGCTTGCATTGTCTCTACAGTTACGTTAGGTACAATCATATATCTATAGCTCAGCGGTTTGTTTGTCGGCCCTCTGCCATGGATGATAGTGGCAGTAAGTAGGCGTCCATGCATTTCGAAATCCCATGGACCAAACTGATTAACGTTGCCAGATTTATTGCGGCAGTCAAGTACCAGTGCAGCGTAGTCGTCCAATACTATCCAGGCGGTTCCATCGGCGTGAAACCAAAGTACTTGAGAATCCCCTGATGAAAACGAATAAGTGCCGTCCAGCAAAACCTGCACAGTTCCGTTACTCCACTGTATTGTTAGTATACCAGCTGCAGTGTCTGCTGGTGGCAGCAATCTGCTTGCGACAGTAGTCTGCAAGAGTGCTGTAGTGTTATCTTCAATCCCGTTCGCCAAAGCTATAATGAAGTCATCGTAAAAGTGCCATGTTCGCTTAGCCATCAGATTATGTGCAGCAGTATCCATTATTGCAGTACCATAATGGCCATCACTGACACCACCGACAAATGTCGTGTTCAACATAGCAAGCTTACCCCTGTTACATCGTACCAATGGTGTATCAGCTTCCACCGTAATTCCATTGATAGTCTTCCAATCGAGTAGGGCGAATATGTTTTCATATTCTTCTCCACTTCCATATTGAGCATCGCGTGTATATAAGTTGAGTACACCATCACCAATGTGTTCACCATTCAAGTTTTCATTATTATCACATTCTGTGGCAATTGTTCGAAAAGAATGCATTTTCAATGCCGCCGTCCAGTTTCCTCTACGATGCACCTGAAAATCACTCGTGTAGAAATGACGATTTCCCACTAATGGTCGAGCTTCATGACGATGTTCAAGTCGATCAGCATAATCCAATAGTGCTAAAGCAGTATAGGCGCTACTAACGTCCATAGCTAGTGCTCTCAATTGATCAGACGGAAATAAATGTGTATACCATACGTGTACGCCGCGGTCAATCACTCGACCAAGAATACCCCATGTCCAGACACTGCCCATAGTGAACCAGGCATCACCTTCTGTCAAAAAACGACCGAAGATATCAATCCGATCTTGAGACAGTGCATATTGTGTACCACGTGTAGCAAGATGAAAATGCAAAATGTTCGTTGCCCAAGCATCACCATATGCTCCTGTCAGTATCTGTGGTCCGTGAAAATGATACGACCAATCCGTTTGTACACCCCAAGTGGAAAGATTCTGTATTTGCACAGTGTTCCACATGACCTCGAAGCCTTGTGCAACTGCAGAATAGTTGGATGTAGCCAGTCCACGATATAGTTGCACTTGTAGCTCCCATACTAGATTAGCGCCACCGCCCCAATCTTTTATCCACCAATTAGCACGATACGACATAGTAATAATAGCATTGATCTCCTCTGAGCTCATTCGCTCTACGCCTAACATGAGCATTATTCCTGTGGCGATCAATGGATCTTGAATATAATTCCACCACCAATTAGGATTCTGCCAATCTTGCTCTATCCAGACTCTCAGTGCACAATGCACAGCCCACAACAAAACTGTATCATTTTCTCTTCCACCTGGAACAGTTAATGCTGCAGTCATAGTAGAAATACGAAACATATGCAATACAGGATCCCAATTTTCTGGACCACGGGTAGAGTAATTCAAGTCAGGCCATTGGCATGTTTTTGGATCCAATGTACTTAAATTGCCGATCGCTTGTGCGAGTGTGGCATTAAGCTGATCTGGTGTAGGCCATAGCATTAACTTGCGTACATTCTCACGTACAATAGCAAAGTCATCTTGCAGTGTTGTAGGAGCAGCGAAAAGGATTGATGGCAAAAGGAATAGCAAGAGTTGTGGAGAGAGTAATATGGTTAACTTTTTGATACTCTGAGTCACGCTCATGATCAACATTAAAATCATTATGTGTACCTATAAATCCAAGAAAAATGTCATTATATTTTTCATTTAGCCATATATGAATTATAGGAATCTATCAGATTGCTGCAAGAAGTTTGTCTTAAAGCGAGACAAAGGCATTACACATAAGTTATTACTTATGTCGTTCAAATGAGTTTACCTTCGGTCTATCTTAATGACTATCATTAATTTTGTTTCTTTATTTTTCAGGTTACTAATTATTTCGGAAACATGGTTAAGTAGTATAAGATATCAGCAATACATAGATAGTGAATTGCAAAACATAACAACATTATCAATAGAGAGTTTCTACTTTTTAGGTAACACACCGATCGAACTACTCATCCTGGTGATCTTGACTTTATAACTATGAACTTCTTAATTGTATGAATTCAAATCTATTAGTTATTCTCTCAAAAAAATGATCTTCTAGTCATTTATTTGAAATAGTCTTTTTGGTAGTCTTTTTGCATAAGTTTTTTCTCCAGGTCAAAGAGGATAAAGCATCTGTAGCTACTTTATTATACAGATACATAACTTATTCTTACAATAAAATTAAAGTAGTGCACCTTTTATGCTCTTATCTTTTCTTCATATGACTGAAACTGAAAAATGTGTTATCAATGCACGCGTCTGCTGCTCAAGAGATAACAAATATCATTTTCAGGTTATTGTACGGGTGTGAGCTAACATACGAACACATATCAAGGTTGAAAATTGAATAGTTGAATTTCAAGTATTAATTCGATCATGTATAACGGTATTTATGATACAGACATACACACGGCATAACACTTATATTGAATAATTGAACACCTGAAATGAGAAGTTCATTAATTGAATACTTGAAATGTGGTTCAATAATTGCATTCAAGTTCCAAGTTTTACACTACTCACAGATCGAAAAATCAGTCATATCGTAGTATACGAACGCTACAAAGAGTTTTAATCCGATTGAGCTGAAATTTTCACGAATTATTCTCTCATGTGTGATTTATTGTTCGTCATAGCGCCGCATTGCATCAGTTAATACAGTTCGACCGAAAGATATTCTGCAGAATCAGGCTTCTGTCCGAAAATAGCTAGTTTTGAGAACATTTTGATGCAAAACTAAGATAATATTCGAATTCAGTTCGTAACCAATCTTTCCGTATTTTTTAAATGCCAGAAAGAGTTTCAGTGAGATTGACCTCAAACTTTCACTGATGATTCTTCCACAACTGGTGCATTGTTGATCTTAGCGCCACTTCGCATCTATTATCATAGTTGATGCTACGGGCCTCACATTACAAACAGCATTAATCGAGTTTAGTTCAAACTTTGAGTTAATCGTGCTCCATGTGGAATCTCTCGATGTCTATACTGTCAAAGACCATTAGTGAATGTCAACGAAGTTAGGAGTTTCCAAAAACCTGTTTTTTTTACCTTAAATTCCTATTATATTCCATAACATATCTTTCTAGCGTGGAACTATGTTCAATGATGTGCGGAACATTATGTTTCATAATACAAACATTTTTTCGAAAAAAAGTGGCAAGGCTTCGCTACGAGTAATTTTTTTGGAGAAAAATTATTTTTTCAAGAAATAATATATTTTCTTAAATTTGATTTCTTAAGTGATATATAATCAATTAGGAATAGTAAAAACTCATTGTCGAGTACGGAAATTTACTTCCTTATTTCGGATTTATATTCAATAATAAATTGTCTGTCGAAATGATCGTTGACTACATTTTTAATAACTGATAGGTGTACGAGAGTGAAACTAAATATTGGATGGAAGAAATATTCGTTCAATTACAAGATATTGATGATTAAAATGTTGAGCCAATATTAGAAGGCATGATGTTCGAAACAAGTTCTCATCATGAGTTATTGAGAAGACAAAAAATTCATGATTTCGTCATGCTTGTATTAGTTTTAAATTGTGGTAAAATAAAAAGTCTGGAAGTGCGTAAAACTGATACATGAATTGTATGTAATTTAGAGTCTCAGTCGATCTTACAAGAAACTTTTTAACAGTTAAGTCTAATTGATTGCGCTGCGTTGCTGTGCGAATAAAACGAGTTTTGAAAATTCAGTTTTCTGAAAGGATACATAACACATTTAGTTTTATGGCCAAGTTTCACATCAGTTAATGCTTCGTGCTTTATATTTTAGTTTTGAGAATGACACTTCGATAACATGATGATTTTCTTCAGGCAATAAAAAAGATACACAAGTCATCTAGTATATTTTATGCTCAATCGTTTTCTTATTTTCTTTGCCTTTTGAAATCTATGAATTTGATCCATCGGTCTTAAATAAACAAATAGAATGATTAGTGGAGCTGATCTGAATTTCATCTTTATTTCTCACTTTCGATCCTTCACAATCATCGGTAGACACAAACATCAACGAAAACAAAGAGTAAATCGAATACAATCTTAAATAGATAACTCATCTTGATTACTGAATACTATGTAATTATTGCACGTTGCAACTCGTTGAAATAATGTCAGAAGTTAGTTTCCAGCGAGGGTTGGACAACGTTCCGATCCGTGACAAAAATATTAATTTTAAGCGGAATTTTGACGTTCAGGTCAAAAATGCTTCTCTTAATAACGTCACATGCGAGGATAAAATTATAAAAGAGTTCGATTTACAGATAAAAACTATTCAATCGACAAAATTAAAACTCATGGGCGTGGCCACGCATTGGTCACCCTCGCATGGGGAAGATTTAAACTCACAAACATAAGGAAAACTCTCTAAAATCAAAAGTGCACTACCGACGGTTTATGAAACATGTTGCAAGCTTTGAGATACTTTGTTGACCAGCGATATGAACCCTATTTTCATTCTACAAGGGTCTACAAAGAAATTTTTGACTAATTTCACTAAAACAATTTAGTATTCAATCCTGTTATATTTCATTTTTTGCCTGAAAAATAGACAGAATTTCTATAATTTCATTTCGTCGTGAGAGTGAAACTGATACACTTGGACGATAGAACTGTCTCCGTATTACTCATGGATTAGGAAAAAGATGGGTTTTTATTATGATAATTGGAAACTTCAAAGTCTCAAACTTTTCCCATTAGAAAGTCGAAAAAAGACGAAATTCTGTAACGATTGAAATTCCGTAACGGTCAATGTTTACAGTTTTTTTATTGAATGCAATTATACTTGTTAAGAAATGAACTGATATTCTGAAGCTTGTGGAGAACTGAACAATTTCTATACAGAGCATTTAGTTGTATGTTACTTCGTTGCGTAGTAAAACCCTTAACTCTCAGCTCACCCACAAAAAAAATTTCCATTTTTTGAAATTCCGTAACGGTCATCAATTTTTTAATAACTCAGCCTTGGCTACATAGAAATCGATAAAATTTTTATTGATAATAAATCTAAATGGTCTCTATATATGATAAAAATTTCAGGGAGTTTGCTGTTATTGTTGATGAGATATAAGTGTTACAATGTGAAAAAATGAAATTCCGTAACGCGTGGCCAAGCCGTCATATGAATAATGAGAATAGCTGTAGGATAAATGACATGGAACAATGAAAAAATGATTTCACCTATACGAAAACTTCTAAGATAAGTATTTGTTCATACAGATACTCATTCAGAGAAAAAATAAAAATTCATAGGAATAATGAAGATTTTTATAGGATAAATGAAATGGAAAAATGAAAAAGTGATTCCTTCTATGGGAACAATTGTTAGATAGTTCAATAGTTATATAGATACTTATTCAGCTGAAAAATGTAAATTCATAGGAGGAATGATTATTACTATCAGATACACAACATAACATAAAAGTGAAAATACCTCACCAGAGAACAACAACTATTGGGAAAACTGCTGAGCTCTATAGGAACAATGATCAAGTAATCTGTTTTAGTTTTTATTGTAAATGGCATAGCATTTTGAGACATTACCAATTCTCGTTAATAATTTTTGTCTAGGACGATCGCATTCTCTATCTGGTGACCTAATGATGTTCCTCTGAACTTCTATTTAGTTTTTGATGTTTCTTTACCAGCCTCGACTAAATTTAATACTTTGTGACTTTTCTCTGACAACATTGTACTGCGTGGCACCAGAATATCAATTATTTGAGAAATTAGCTTTTCAACCAGCAATAGCAATGATTATGGAGGCTACTTAGTCATAAGCCGGGAATTCTAAAGAGATTTTGAATAGTCTTCAGTACTTCATGTACCGAAATTTCGATCTATCTTAAAAATACTTGGTTTTGAATTGTTGACTAGACTGTAATGTGTTTCGAATTAAATAGATATCGAAAGTTTTAAATAGTAACAGATAGTTTCAAATCGCAATACAAGTCTAAAAATCTATGCATTTTAAATAACTACATGTTAATTAACAGTAATGTCCGAGATCCAAAGAGATATCCGCTTTACCCAATGTCCTTTAATAACAGGTGAGGCCTTTCATACAGAATGAAATTTGTGATATATAAGTAGTTAAAGGAAAGGACAAAAATAGCATAGCAACGGACTTTTCTTTCTTCAAAGGACTTTTCCTTCTGATAGCATTGTTTTTATATAAATACAAAATACATTTTGATAGATATATATCGTAGAGATTAAACTATCATATATTCTAATATCATGAGTGTTAGCTCTCGTTTTGGGGATTATGTAGCAATGGTAGAACTAATATTTAGTCTGCCAAAAATGGAGAGCTAAACATGTTTTAATAATCGACTTTGTCGTCGTGTCATATATAGAATATATTGAGTATCGAGAGATCGATACGATAGAACATCAACAACTGCGCAATAACGAAAGACAAAAAGATAATCACGAGATGAATCATAGTTGAGAGAT